TTCTAGTGTGCTTCCTCAAATTCTAACTTTTTGTGTCACAGGAAAAAAACATTGCCTGCACAATTCTGATCTTTGTAGATATATAGGCACATCTCTCTATCTAAATATCTTTTCCAAGACCTTCATTGCTTCTCTACTGAGTGCTTGTCTGTGTCATATTATAAGATTCCTGCTTCTTTTGTACTTTTGATAGTGGTCAGAAAAAAGGCGGAAGCTAATCCACCTCTTCAACACCTTCAATTGTCAGTTCTAAAGCTAGTTACTATACCTCTTATTATTTTAGCAATCTTTATTTTTAATCTTAGTCCCATTTTTTCACTAGGCTCTTGATTTGAGAGCCAGTGTGGTCTAGTGGTTAAGGCACCAGGCTGGAAGATTGTGAGTCCTGTCTTAACCATGAAAGCCTGCTGGCTGACCTTGGGCCAGTCAGTATCTCTCAGCCCAACTCACCTCACACAGTGGTTGTTGTGAGGAAAATAGGAGGAGGAAGATTTATTATTATTTATTTATTTATTATTTATTAATTTTATTTCTATACCGCCCTTCTCCCGAAGGACTCAGGGCGGTGTACAGCCTAATTAAAAACACAACTGGATGGGCTGGATATGTTTGCCATCTTGAGTTATTTGTAAAAATAAGAAAGGCAAAATACAAATAAATAAAAATAAAATAATAATTACTAGAGCTTCCATAGTGTTTGCCTTTTCAGATATTTTTGTGGTGTCATCATCATAGAATAAATTGTTGATACTTCCTCCTCCAGTTTTGAAACCATGCTCATCTTCTTCCAATCCAAGTTCCCTCAATATTTTATTTATTTATTTATTTTGTCAAGCATGTATTAGATAACAGATATAAGTATATATATAACATGATTATGAATATATGAAATGGATACATATAAAAGGGGACATTAGGACAGGGACTCAACATAATATATACTCATTTGTTATGATATACTCATATTTTTATATAATATCATATCGTATTATATTATTATTATATATAATATATATCATATATTATCATATATGATATATATATATTATATTATATTATATGTATAATATAATATATATAATATATGAGTTTATATATATATATGTAGGTCTTTGGTTATTCGGGTTTTCTCCCGTGTAAAATTGGAAGTGTCTTGGCGACGTTTCGACGAAGTCTCATTCGTCATCTTCAGGCTGGTGTTTTTGGCTTCATGCTTCTAGGAGCAATGTGCAGCTGTTTCTTCCTTTTAACTGCCAGTGGGGGTGTGAACTGATTGGGTGGGAGCTTGGCTGTGTTCTGATTGGGTGGAGGTGTGTTCTGATTGGTTGGGGGCTTGGCTGTGCTCTGATTGGATGGGGGGTTGGCTGTGCTCTGATTGGCTGGCACAAAGCTGATTGATTGGCACGAAGCCGAAAACACCAGCCTGAAGATGACGAATGAGACTTCGTCGAAACGTCGCCAAGACACTTCCAATTTTACGCGGGAGAAAACCCAAATAACCAAAGACCTACATACAAACACCCGCGAAAACCTCAGAAAGCATATATATATATATATATATATATATATAATATCATTATATCAACCTTTATGTTGATATACTCAACATAAAGGTTGAAGGAATAAGGGGATAGTCTACAGTATTGTTTCACTCTTTTTCCAACCTAGAACCGGTCTGATTGCCATGTTCCATCAGAACATGGCTTTCTGACCTATGTATAGGCTTTGCATGAGGACAAGGAGATGCACTAATGAGGATTCCCCTTTTTCTAAGCACATATCACAATTTGACATGATCAACACAATCAAAGACTTTTCTGTTAACAGAGAAGCACATAATGAGTTCTTTTTTATATTCTTTGGATTTCTCAATTATCTCAATATGCCTCTTATTCCTTGGCCTCTTCTAAAGCCAGCTTAGATATGTGGCACCTCCCTTTTCAAAGTAGGTCTCTAATCTGCATTGGATGATCCTTTTTGTTAGCATGTGAAATTAAGGATACTGTATAATTATTTGTTTACACTTATAAATAATATAAATCTAATAAATAGATAAATGATAGAGGTCATGGGGAAGCAACATGCTTCTTTAAGAAGGTATGAATAGTGATGGAGACATACTTCGTTAGATAATATTGACCAGGGGTGAAATGCTACCTTGGTGAAAAGGGCCTTGGTAGTACAGTGGTCTAAAGCACCCTGTTATTAACACAGCTGCCTGCAATTACTGCAGGTTCGAATCTTACCAGGCTCAAGGTTGACTCAGCCTTCCATCCTTTCTAAGGTAGGTTAAATGAGGACCCAGTTTGTGGGGGCAATAAGCTGACTTTGTATAAATATACAAAAGTATGAAGGCTATTGCTTAACGCATTGTAAGCCGCCCTGAGTCTCCGGAGAAGGGCGGCATATAAATCAAATTAAAAAAAAAAATGCTACAAGTTTGGGGTGGTTCGCCTGAACCAGTAGTGAAAATGCTACTGGTTCGCTTGAACTGGTAGTATAAAAATGCTTTAAAAAGTAAAAAAAAAAAGTTCCCATGATCACGTGGCACAGCTGATAGTCTGAACTTTTTTTTTTCTTTTTTAAAGCATTTTTTTACTACCAGTTCCGGCGAATAGATAGTAAAAAATGCTTTAAAAAGTAAAAAAAAAAAGGTTCCAACAATCAGCTGTGCTACGTGATGGTCAGAACTTTTCTTTTACTTTTTAAATCATTTTTTTACTACCTATTGCCTGAACTGGTATTTTTGTGTAAAGTGTGATAGTTTGTTTTTGAGCTCTCTGTGACTCTGTGAGGTTCCTGCTTGTTTCAGGGGCCATTTTATGTGAAGTCCAGCTGCTTTTGCATTGTGTGTGAGTCAGTTGTGTAGCTTTTGTGTTATTTTTGTGTAAAGTTGGTTTTCCCGGGCACAAGCCACGCCCATTCACATGACCACCAAGTCACGCCACCCATTCACATGACCACCAAGTCACGCCCCACCAAGTCACACCCACAGAACTGGTAGTGAAAAGTTTTGAATTTCACCACTGATATTGACAGATAATATTGTCCTCTTTCACCAGTGAGCAGCTTTAAATGATTCTTCAGAAGAATCATTTCACAAAATAAAATCCTCTAGGATGATTGGTGACATTTCTTTTTAATTGTTTTGGAATAGGCTCATGAATTTCATTCAGAGAGCAAAGGCACCACATTTGAATTTTCTCTCAGATCTGTGTGAAGTTTATTCCTGGGAATTACAGACTCCTGCTGATTCAAGATAGCATAAAGTACCAATCTAACTGCTGTACTGTTATTTCCCCAAAGGGATGCAGAACATTTTGCAGCCCAGAAGCTTTAAATATTTGCATTCTTGTTGAAATAGGCTAGTGTGTTCCCCTCTCCTACCCAGCACACTTTTTCTTAAATAGTCAAAAGTCTCTTGGGAAGATTATGTCTTGCTGTTTGTTTCCAACTTCAAATAATCAGAACTTTGTTACTGTGGGCCATGCTTTGCATACGGTAATCTTTCTTTCTGTTTTATTTTTTATCTTCAACCCATCACTGTATTGAACTAGTTACCAAATGTTTTGCAAAGCTTTTTCTCATGCAAGTGATGCTGCATCCAGGAGGGAATCCATATTTTGTTAAACACTATCTGCAAGACTTAAAATTCTATGGAACATAGGAGGAAAGAGTTTATACTCATATAAACTACCATGTTGCAGTGAATGAAGATTTCACCTTTAGCTTTATGAGAGTTAATGGGATAACGTCTTGCAAACATTACTCTCAATGTAATGCATTCAATCTGTTTTAGGGATTGATTATTGTAATTATTAGTAGCTGATTAGTATTAGTGCTCTTTTTTATTCCCTTTCTCCCATGATTTGCATGCAACACCCACGGAAACCCAAACAAGCAAGCAAAGATTATTCTGATCAGGGACTGGAAGTTTCCATCAGTTCCAAAGAAGTCTCAAAAGAGGGTGCAGAAGTAGATGGTAAAGTGCAACAAGGCCAGTTAAGTAACTTCTTCAGAAAAGAGTTTCACTCTGAAGGAAAATTGGATCTCTCCTAGTCTGGGAATAAGATGAGCCCTTTAATGATCAAATAATATAATGACTGTTGCTAATATTTTATATTTATTCTTAAATTGGATATTAAAAATATTCTTATCCCTTGTTTTTCTCTGGGCAAGGATTTTCTGTTCTGAAAGAGACTTTTTTATTTATTTATTTATTTGATTTATATGCCGCCCTTCTCCGGAGACTCAGGGCGGCTTACAGTGCGTTAAGCAATAGCCTTCATACTTTTGTATATTTATACAAAGTCAGCTTATTGCCCCCACAAACTGGGTCCTCAATTTACCTACCTTAGAAAGGATGGAAGGCTGAGTTAACCTTGATCCTGGTGAGATTCGATCTTACTTTAATTGCAGACAGCTGGTGTTAAATTACAGTGCTCTGTCTGTTGAGTTATCCAGGCTCCTTTTTTGCCCCCTGGAATCTTGCTATAGCAGCAGGCTTGAAAGTTTTTAATAAATGAGTCGAAATAAATGCTAGAAATTTAGTTTATTTTCTTCTTGTCTTTTCTTTCGCCCTATGATACTTAGGCAAAGTTCTGAGCAGGCAGATGTTACTGATCTGATTGCAAAGTTTTGAGTTACTTTCAGGCATTAGATTTGCAAACTTGCCCATGAACCCATGATCCCTGCATCCTGATGATCAAAATGGTCAGAATACCCTGGATCAGTTTCAGATGTGTTTTAAAATAAAACTAGAGATGTTGAATAGCAGAAAAGCTGTTTGTCTGGAAGTGCCTTAGATAAACTGGCTGAAGATTGTATATGTGTAGATTCACACTCATTCACTAATATAGCTTTGTGACTACACCAAATTCTCAAACAAAATGCCTGTATACAAAGTGTTTCACCCAGCTACTGCCATGTGATAATATGGAATTTTTTCATATAATAGAATTTTCCTTTGGATTAAATTGTATTTCTTTATCTTTTTTTAGGAGGAATGACTTCCTCTCACTTCTATGATTATGGTAGTTCCAAGACATCAGACAAAAGCAATGGCTCCCTTTACACCTCTCTGTTTTCTGATGAACTCTATACAGCACCTCAAGATTCCTCTTATTTCACCGGAAATCTTTCCAGGGAGGACAATCATGTTACCTCTTCAGAGAGCACGGAGGGAATTCATGCCCAAGGTGGGCTGTTTAGCTCTGATTCAGGAATAGAGATGACCCCAGCAGAATCCACTGATGTCAACAAGGTTTTAGCTGATCCAGTGGAACAGATGAAATCTGAATCCTACAAGTACATGGACATCAGTAGATCAGAAGAGATTAAATATCAAGAGAGCTGTGATACAGTCAAGGAAGACCTGAGTCCTCTCAGCTTGATTAATCAAGGAGTGGAGGACAAGATTGGAGCAAAAGGGATACCATTTGATGAAAAACATGAGTCTAAAGAGGGCTCATCTTTTCTACTGGACCACCAGTATAGCCCCTCAGAAACATCACAAGTCAAGATTACACTGACGGAAATAGAAACTATGGAGGTGCCTGTATCAAAGGAGAAAACGCCTGAAAAACAAGAAGCTGGTCTCAAACCAAGTCATGAAATAGTTCCTACAGTGACAGTCTCTGAGCCAGAAGATGACAGCCCAGGCTCAATTACTCCACCTTCTTCAGGAACAGGTAAAAAATGATTACATACCAGGGTACAATAAAAAATAATTTAGGGGATGAGGAAGATTTGCAGATAACATACACTAAAAAAAAACACCCCTCCCTTCTTATAACCCTTAATTCAGGGTAGAGTCAGGGTGACTGGATGGAACTGAGCATTTACTGGCTGGATGCCCTTCCTGATGCCATGTGGAGTTCTCAATAAATAGCATACACTAATATCTGCAATTAAATTTTCTAATAAGAGTACTTTACAGGTGGATGGAATTGGAACTCCTAAATTCTTAGTGATGGCCATGATGGTTGGAGAATTCTGGGTATTGAAGACATACATCTGGGGGTTACCCAAATAATTCATAAATTAAACATTGCTCCCTATGATATAGAGAAACCTCAATCCACAGCAACACTCAACATTTTGTTCCTCCTGCAGATGCCCTGGGTGTGTGTAGGGGAAAGGATGACTGGAAACCCACAATTATTTCCTTCCATTAAAGTACCCAATATTATATTCTGTGATGGTCACTAAAATGGGTAGTTTTATTGCCATGGTACAATAAAAATCAGTGGTACTGGCAGTGCTTTTAGTATCTAAATCCTTTCCTCTGAATTTAAGGACATTGTTATGTAGAAAAGCTCTATGCCAGGGTGTTCAACCTTGGCAACTTTAAGACTTGTGGACTTTAATTTCCAAAATTCCCCAGCCGGCCATCTTTAACTCTGGCTTATTAAACAGCAGTGGATATTTTTTTCTCCACTAGTTTGAAAAGATGCTGCAGCTCCAGAAATCATTAAAGAGAAAGTGAAATTAAAACCAAAATCTGTCTCAAGGGAAGATCCCAAGCACATCTAAGGATAGGTTGTGGAATTGTTTTGTTTCCTTTGGCCATTTAGATCCATGGACAATTTTTTCCTGCAAAAGTTAGCAAGCAAGAGAGGGGAAGTAATTGCCAACTGCCCACAAAGTTGATACATTTATTTCATGGAATATAAAATATTAACTTATATGGAATGTGACACTAAGCAGCAAAGCCTATACTCAAAAAAAAAAAAAAAAAAAAGAGAGAGATGTTTTAAGCTTTGTTATGTGTCACATACAGTATACAAATTACAGTCCCATTTTACACCAGCTTTCCCCACCTTAAAAGCTTTTATGAGTCATGCCACCTGTACTCTGTTTTCAGCAATATGTTTTCACACATTAAAACACCCACTTTTATATTTTGTACAAACCATGTATTTTTTGAAACTTGCTTATTATTTGCAAATTGTTAGGAGTGAAGTCATGCCTCCTTCTGAGGAGAAACATCAGCACTAGACATGAAAAAACAATCCAATCTAGAAATAATATAGAAAGCTCATTGTGTTTGCTCTAGAGCTTGTGGGTTGGGAGGTACTGTACATGCATAAGTACATTATGTGATTGCTTCCTGAAGAGATAAAATTGGATTTTTGCTAACCAGAATTTTTATCCTTCTCTTTCCCTCATGTTTATCTGTCTCTTTTATTGTGTTCCTTCTTCTTTCCTAACTTGGAACAATCTCCTTGAAATTCCAGAACCATCTGGTTCTGAGTCTCAAGGTAAGGGCAGCCTTTCTGAAGAGGAACTTATTAATGCCATTAAAGAAGCAAAGGGCTTCCCATTTAAGCATCCTGAAGGCCAAGGACCACAAACTGTTGTACCAGAAAAACAAGATAAGAAAAACAAGTTGACAGAATTTCCAGCAGGAACTACTCCCTTGGATAATGAAGCAAGCAGTGCTGAATCTGGTGATTCTGAAATAGAATTGGTATCAGAAGACCCCCTAGCTGCTGAAGAGGTTCTCCATTCCAACTACATGACCTTCAGCCATGCTGGAGGCCCTCCACCTTCCCCAGCCTCTCCTTCAATACAGTATAGCATTCTGAGGGAAGAACGTGAAGCTGAACTGGACAGTGAGCTCATAATTGAATCATGTGATGCTTCATCAGCCTCTGAGGAGAGCCCTAAACGGGAGCATGACTCTCCCTTAATGAAGCCAATTATTATGGACATTATTGAAGAAGAAAATCATACTAGGAATGAAGGCACCAGGGCTTCGGATTACAATTTAAGTGGCTCCAAGGAAAGCAGAATGAACAGGGAAAATCTAGCAGACTCAGCCTCCTACTTGAAGTGTTCCTTCACCGCATCTAAAGTCCATGCTGATACCGTGTCTTCCTCTACCATCAGTAGTGAAGAAATAAAGGACAAAGTAGCTCAGAAGAAATCAGTTGAAGTGGCAGCGACTGCTACTGGAAAGAAATCACCATCCAAGGATTCATTGACAAGAAGTCCCTGGTCTTCACCACCACTGCCATTTTTAAATAAGCAAAAAGGTAATGCTGTCCATTTTTATTGCCAAAAATATGGGCCTTTTGGTTATGAGAATGGATGATGAAAACACTGCTGATCTGGAAGAATCAGGAACAGCAAGGGTCTGCCTCCTCATAGATAGGATTTCAAAGCAAACCATTTATCTGGGGGCCATGAATATTGTTAAGAGTTGATTAAGACATGGGGTGAATATTGGAAATGGCTATTTGCAATGCATTTATTGCACAAGTTCAATTTATTGTGGCTTTGGTAGCATGAAACATCACAATAACAGTTTGGTTTTATGCAAGTGAAAATACCTTCAGTCACCACATTTGCAAGGAACTTTCAGAAAATTAATGTTATTGGGGAACTTAATATGCAACAGAATGATTATCTCCACTAATTAAAAATTGAATTTACATCTTATTTTGCCCCATCTCCCCATTAGTTAGTTCAAGAAGACATACTACTGTATTTGTTTAAAACATGGGTCCTCAAACAACGGCCCGCGGGCCGGATATGGCCCGCTGAAGTCATTAATGTGGCCTGCGAGGGACCATGAGGCTGCCCCGCCCACATTGCCCCACCTACCTGCTGGCCCCCGCCTGCCTTCTGAAGGCCAAGGAGGCCAAAAATGGGGCCATTTTTGGCTTCGCCAGCCGAGAGAGAGAGAGAGAGAGAGAAGGAGAGAGAGAGAGAGAGAGAGACAAATAGAAGTCCCTCACACACACACACCCCCAAGGCAGCTGCATCCCTTCACTAACCTGCTTTCCCAGGAGAATAACCCAGGAGCATAACAAATTAAAGTTTAATTTATGTGTGTATGTATTATTATATGTATGTTTAATGAACTGCTAAATTGGCCACGCCCACCCAATCACATGACCACCTAGCCACATCCACCCACCTGGTCTGGCCTCCCAACAGTGTGAGGGACTGTGAATTAGTCCCCTGTTTAAAAAGTTTGAGGACCCCTGGTTTAAAAGTTAGGTATTTAAAAAGTCTAATAATTATTTTAAAACATATTGGGTAGAATAAAAAAAATACAGTGTAGAGAAGTGATAAAAGAATGAACAACCTTATAACAGAGAGAAAATTATTATCATTAATCAGTATCCCTAATGGGCCAGTAAAAATAATCTTTAAGCATGCAAGTGTTTGTATAAAAGGAGTAGATTGAATTATATCTCATTTAGATCTGGCCCATAGAACAGACCCATCTAAGAATACAACAATGAAATATAGGTAACACACACAAATGATGTTGACAAGGGGTCCCCAATCACCAGGCTGTGGCCCAATACCTAGCTGCGGCCTGTTTGGAAATGGACCGCATAAGTGGTGGGTGAGCACATGAAGCTCCACTTGCGTGAGCAGTGGGCACTAGCACTTGCACACAAAGCTCGACTCACATGAGTGGTAGGTGCTTGGGCTCGCACATGAAACTCCATTCGCACAAGCAGTGGGGGCTTGTGCCTGCCACTCACACAAATGGAGCTGTGCACGCTTGTACGTGCACACCTACCACTCACACAGAACCATCCCCCCCCAATGCTGGGCCACCAAGCCAGAAAGGTTGGGGAATGCTGATGTAGACCCTTATATCAATTACTGGATTTTACTTGGGAAGTACATATTCAATCTGCATAATTCGAATGTTTCACGCATTATGGGAGACTTCAAACAAGCCAGAGCACAAAGTGATTTATAAAGCACAGAATGGGGGGAAACAAGATTGTGGTATACCCTAATACCTTTCTCAATGGAGAAGAAAGCAAAAAGAAAGTTTTTTTTCCACCAATTGCCAATGAACTCTAGTTGCTAAACCCAAGACAAGGCTACCTTTTTTGGGGATTTCTTTTTGTTCCTGTACTCATACAAAAGGAGTGTTAATGGGTGCAAACACGATGAACAGCTGAGTTTTAGATTTTTTTTTAATAAGAAAGAACATCAGAGGCAGATAATTTGAGAAAAATCTCTACAGGACACCATATAATAAAGGTATTTATTTGTTCAATTTACTACATGTGGCTTGCCCATCTCACAAAAACAACCCTGGATAGTTTACAGTTAGAACAATAAAATAAAGCATGACAAATTCCCATAATAGAATAACAGGTAATCCATTGCATCTTCCATTCAATACCTTTCATTTCTGAATGTTCTTATCCAATGCTCTGACCCAATGCTTGGGGAAAGAACCAGGTTCTAATGGAAGTCCACTCAGGTCAGGACCATCTGAATATCAGAGGGAATGTTATTCCGTAGGGAAGCTGCTACGATAGAGAAAGTATGCCTCCTAAATTACCCCTGTTCACATTTTATAGAAGGGACCCAGAGCATGTTCACTCTGCCAGATCTAATGGGACAAGTAAAGATTATTGGAAACATTCCTGCAAATAAATTAATCCTGTATGAAGAGGTTTATAAATGATAGCACCTTGAACTAAACTTGGAAGTTTGTAGGAAGCCAATGCAGCTTACTTATAACAACGTGCATCAATAAGTATTTGTGCCACAGCATTCTGAACCAATTGCTGCTTTCAAGTAGTTTCTATGTATGGTGTGACCAAGTCATGAATGACCATGACCAGGTCTCCTGATTCAGGAAATGGCACAATTGGTATATAAGATTAATTTATGGCCCTCCTGGCCAGAACTGTCATCTGTTTTTCCAGATGGATCCAAGAGGACCAACAATTGTGTGCCAGTTCTGTCTGAGAGAATGCAGCCCCAACCTGAACTAAAGATGCTGTGGCTCCTAAATCTGGAGACCACAAGCCCACAACCACTTGGTTTTACTTGGATTTAGCCAAACCCTCTTCTTCCCTATCTATGCCCTCATAGCTTCTGGAGATGAATAACTGGGTGATATCAATATTGATGATGCTTGACCATGAGTTTCCTCACCCCAGCAGTTTCATGTTGCTCTTATATAGGAATGGAGAGAGAATAGAGCCCTGAGGTACCCCACAAAAATGGATTTGGAGCAGGGGTGAAATGCTCCCGGTTCGGACCGGCTTGGGCGAGTAGGTAGCAATGACGGCAGGCAGTTCGGAGAACCGGTAGCAAAAATCCCTGCCCCCGCCCCCCATGCCCAGCTGAGCCGCGCGATCACCAGAGCCTTTTTTTTCTTTTAAATGGCTCTGACCAGCCAAGCTCTGACCATCCCAGCTGAGTTGCCTGCTAATCAGGCAACTCAGCTTGGATAGCCAGAGCTATGTAAAAGAAAAAAACTTTTTTCCTTTTAAATGGCTCTGCCTGCTAATCAGTAGCAAAAATCCCTCCCCCTCCCCCCCTCAGCTTGCTTACCTTAGCTGCTGGTCGCAACACCTTGCTGTAATCCCGCAATCAATTGCATCAGCAAGCAACTGAATCTTCTTGCCTGCAATCAAGCAGGCAGGAAGTTGTGGACTTCAACTCCCAGAATTCCTCAGCCAGCAAAGCAAAGCTGGCTGAGGAATTCTGGGAGTTGAAGTCTACAAATCTTAAAGTTGCCAACGTTGGAGACCCCTATTCTATTGGGTAATTTTTTTCCCCCTTTCGGAGCTTTAAAAAAATAGTTAATTGGGTTTTTTTTTTTAATTGTTCTTTTTTTAGACCTAGCCATTTAAAGTTTAGGAAGTTTTAAATTTAGCTGCTTTTATATAAAAATAAAAATAAAATAAAATAAAATAATATTTGTGCAGCTTTCTGAGATTTAGTGTGTTTCTGTAGTGTTTCACTCTAACTACACAAACCCACAAAATCTCACAAAGCTGTATGTGGAATTTTGTGTGTGTAAAGTCTGAAAATTGCTTTTTTGTGCTTTTTGTAGCTGTGTGAGGTTCCTGCTTGTTGCAGGGGCCATTTTGGGTCTAGCACAGCTGCTTTTACATTGTGGGTGAGCCAGTTGTGTCGTGTTGTGTTGTGTGTGTGTAAAATGTGAAAGTTGGTTTTTTGAGCTTTTTGTGGCTGTGTGAGTTTCCTGCTTGTTGCAGGGGCCATTTTGGGTCTAGCACAGCTGCTTTTATATTGTGGGTGAGCCAGTTGTGTTGTGTTGTGTTTTGTAGGTTCAAAAAGGGCAAAGAAGTGACATAGACTTGGCCACGCCCACCTTACCAACAAGCCACAGCCACTAATTAAGCCACGCCCACAGAACCGGTAGCAAAAAATTTTAGATTTCACCCCTGATTTGGAGCTAGATCTATCTAACTATATCAATCAAACGAATTGCCACCATGATTCAGTAGTTTTAAAGGGATAGTTCCTAGGACAAACAAGCAAGCAAACCATCGGTGATAGAAAATAATAAATGAAGTCCTTTGGGAAATCAAAAATATTTTCTAGAGCTTTCCCTGCTGTTTGACAAGATTTCCTTTGTAAGCTTATTTTGAAATGTAGCCAAGATATAATCTAACATGTGTCTTCATAGACAAAGTGTCTGTTGGAAACTCTTACCAATAATTACTGCTTAGTGGTATTCATTAGTCAGAATAGAATAGTTGCTATCAGTTCTTCCTTTTTAAAAATCCTATATTTTCTCTGATGAGCTAAAGGTGAAGTAATCATGGCTCTTCTCCAGTTTGTCATTGTGTACTATCTTGGCAAGAATGCCTATAATTCTTTGAAAGTAGTCAGCCATGACAGACGGACAGAAAAACAATTACTGTAACTCAAAATTAATTATTTTCCAAAGATAATATAAATGACAGATTATGCCATTTTTACAATGCAAGCAGAAAGGTTGCTAGCCTATTACTGGTTAATACAGAGATTCCCTACTGCTGATAAAGCAATTATTAAGTGAGAAACCCGATGGCATTAGGGACACTGCTCTGCAGATGACCAGCTATGAAAACCTGTTTGTAAAGTTGAGCTACAGGGATTAGAGGATATTGTTTGTAGTGAACCAGCCTCCCTGCTGATTAGTAACCTCCTTATCTGGTATGTTGAGTCTGTGGCTGAGTTGGTTATGAAATACTTATGGTACTGAGTACTTATGCTACAGTCTGCATCCATCTTGGACCTCCTTGATATT